TAACAACTGGAATCTGCAAATTATTAATTAGTGACACTTTATCGGTGCCTTTACCATTATCTTCAGATACATCACCTTGACCTATACCTACCATTCCAAATACCGCGCATTTTAACAGAGGGATTTTTTCGCTATAATCGCCGTAATTATTTGCAAAGATAACAGTGGTTAATTATGGCCAATCTGTTGCCCTCTCGATGTCAAAACAGTGTTATTAGTGCATTGAAATATGACATTTAGCAATCTGTGAGTGAAATAATTGCTATCTTAAATGATACGTACTCCATAATTTTCAAACAAGCAATCTTTTCTTTCCATGAATATGTCCTATCGATCAATTTGTCAATTCTTGTTAGTGTCATATATTTCCTTCCATTCTGCTGAGAATTTTTTAGAAATCCTTACAAACATGTTTGCAAAAATTTATTCCTTTTGGACATTGCTTCATCAAGCTATCCCTAGAGCTCGTTTTTTGTCTTGCATTTTTTTTACGCTCACTACGCACGCTTTTTTTCCACCTCTAGAGTAAAAATTGTTATTGATGTCGAAACGAATCCTTCATGCGTTCACATTACATTACAGCTATAACGAATGAATTATAACTTTACAATTGTTCCTGCTTGCCTTTCTATTCATACCCCTACCTAACTGTGGGATATTTAACATTAACCAGGAAAAAATTCATTCGTCTGTTCGCGGCTGTTTATTAAAATAAGATTTTGAAACACTGTAGTGTAGAACTTTCCGGCAGATAGACTCGATTTGTAAAGTAGAGAAGCCGGGACGACAGCCAACAGCCTTAAATGCCATTCCTTAATAGCTTGCCCCCAAGGTATGAGAGCAGCGCAGAGCACAGTCGAGGGTGAATTTGCGAATGCACACACGGAAGGGGCGCTAGAATACACACTACATGTTCCTACCAGTTCCAACAGATTGAAATCCAACCTGCCTCTTTGATGCCCAATAAATTAGACAACTGCACTCACCATTGCATCCAAGTGAATAATCAGGACCAGAACATTTTTACGTGGGAATTTGCTTGTTCGACAACTTTAAATAAGGAGAAACGGACTAGAGCCATTTAGAAGGGCAACATCGAATTATTGTAGAAAATTTGTTGCTGGGGATATTCATTAAGTCAACCCTGAGAAAATAAAATTAGGTTATGTTCTTCGCGATTTCTAAGAGGTGAGTTGCATGTTGATGCAGACTAGTTGATTTGACCTGTGTCGAATGCCATGCAGCCTTTGGACATACGATCGCTTCTACCTCTGCAGAGGTCATTGGTTGGCCAATGCGGTTGACGCCACCTGTCTTTGACTCCTTGAAGTTTGTTACCACCTTTGGTGAAGTTGTGCTCACACATTGGAAAACGATGAAAACAAAGTGTCCCAACAAAGTCAAAGGAACTATTTTTACACTACTAGGATATATCGCGGTAATTTTATTAGTGATAAAGTAGTTAGTTCAGCAAAAAGTGGCAGTGGCCATACAATTCTGAAAAGTAGTTTCTCGTGCTGGAGGAATTTAAGAAGGACCTCCTTGGAACAACTAGCTGCATCTTAATTTGGATCAAATAGCTTCAAGACAAATGATAGGAATTACCAAATACTCCAGACAAAGGACTCAGGGTCAAAATATACTTATCCGCAAAAAATAATCGTCAGTCAACGCTATTTCGAGTAAATTTAAAGGAACATGATAATAGGCACAATATGGATTTACCTCTTATTACCTTACCAAATAACGCCTTTCAGCGAAATTATAGCAATGAAAGAATAAAACAGTAAGGTTTAATTCAATATACGTGGGTGCATGAGCATACAAAAAATTGGAAAATGGCG